TGGAGGAAAGTTGTGAATATAGTTTGCCTGGATTTTATTAAGGCATTTGATACTGTACCTCCCAGCATCCTTCTGGACAAGTCTGACTGTGAAGTGAGCAGGTAGATGGTCTGCTGGAAGAACTGATTAAGGGCAGGGCTCAACGGGTTGTAGAGAGTGGAGCTACACCTGGCTGGAGACCAGTCACCAGTGGTGTTCCTCAGGGCTCAATCCCGAGACCACTTCTGTTCAAAGTTTTTATCGGTGATCTGGAGGCAGGAGTCAAATGCACTATTAGCAAGTTTGCTGATAATACTAAAGTGGGAGGTGCTGCTGGCACTCTCAAGGGACAAGAGGCCTTGCAGAGGGGTGTGGATGGATTGGAGTGCTGAACAATCATCAATAGCATGAAACTGAACAAGAACAAATGCCAGACTCTGCACCTGGGATAGAGCATACCTTCCACGATTACAAATTTCAAAAGCACCTGGGAAGCAGCACCGCAGAAATGAGTCTGGGGATGCTGGCTGACAGCAGGCTCGAAGTCAGCAGTAGCAAACCTTCAAATACAGCACAACCATCTGGTCAAAAGGAGTGATTATCCCACTCTATTTAGCACTGCTGCAACTTAATTTTGAGTACGCTGTACATTTCTGGACCCCAAAATTTAAAAGGGATGTGAAGGTCCTTAAATGTGTGCAAGAGGAAGGCTCTGAAGCTGGTTGAAGAGCTGAAGTAATGCCCTGTGAGAAGCAGCTGAAGGCACAGGTTGCATCTCATCTGGAGAGAAGGAGGCTGAGGAGTGGCCAGACTGCTTTTTGCAGGTGGTGGAGAGGGAAGTTGCTGATACTGCTTTCTGAGGTGGTGGAGAGGGAAGTTGCTGATCTCTTCTCAGTAGTACCTAGTACTAGGGCATGTAGGTATGGCTGAAAGCTGCATCCATCAGGGCAGGTTCAGACTTGATAGGAAGAAACATTTCTTTACCAAGAGTGTTGTCAAACCATGGAAAAATTTTCTTTGAGAAGGGGTTGATGCCCCAAGCGTGTCTGGGTATTGCCCCTAATGCCATACTTAAAGTTTTGGCCAGCCCTGAAGTGGTCAGGCAGATGGATAAAGTGACTGTTTTCCTGTCCCTTTCAACTGAATACTCTATTCTATTCTGCACTCACGGTGAGTCAAATTACAATCAGACTGTTACTTGCCTGAAATACCAGGGACTTTTTTACCTTTGATAACACTTTCAAAAACATGTAACACAAGAGAGACTAGAAATAGGATTTTATTTTTTTTAACTCTTTCAGAACAGATGTTCACAAGTATTATCACAATGTGCAGGTGTAGCCAGGAGCATGTTAGTGCAATTTAGCTTGAAAAACCATTACTTGAAGTCTGGCAAAGGAAAGGCAGAGAGCTACAGAACATTGCAAATCCCCTACATTTAGTGGAGAGCCATTTGCCTGTGGGACTGTGTGGGGAGAACAGATTTCTGTCTCACGTCTTGTGGCAAGAAGTTAATGGCACAATTTGTATCCAATACAGTTGCTATGAACTCCACCTCTCCAGGCAAGTTTGCCCTTAGAGTTTCATGGAATATTCTGAATTATGGGCTGTTTATTATCCTGCTGATGAGTGTCTTGCATCCAGGCTGTGCAGAAAATGAACAAGCTGGTCTCTAAATATCACTTCTTCGTAGGCTGTGTTTGTTTTGACCACACATCCTTCCTGAATCCTGCTGTATAGAATAACCCAAACAATGGAACTGCCTGGAGCCAAAAGAAGTGGTGCCAGGTGAACCCAGTTTCCTTCAAATAAGAGACCCTGGGTCAAGCCACAGATGATACAGCAGTCTTGAAAATGTGTTACTGATATTTTAAAAATGCACTAAAAATTATCTAAAATATTAATCTTTACCAGAAACAGGAAAGTTGCTAACTGACTGATGCACAAAGAAGGCTCTTTCTAGGAAAAAAGCCTTAAAATTTGTAAGAATACAATTTTCTCTCTTTATTTGATAATGGATTTTTTTTCTGGCTGAATTTGCTTTTTAACTTTCAAAAACCCAAATCCCATACATCCTAACACCCAGTTTATAATAATTTTTTCTCCGATTTTAAATTATTTTGGTTTTTAAAAAGCACAATACCTGCCTATAGAACAATAACAACGTCATGTATCACTTCAGATGCAAAAACTCAAGTAATGTGGCAGAATTAATTCAGGCCAAGCAGACCCTGCTTCCTGAATAGCAAGAATAAGGATTAGTAATAGTTACATGCAAAAGAATTGTGTGGTATTTTCAAAAGTATGACACATCTCAAGGATAAACACACCTTTTTTGCCTTCCTAAACTTGTTCCACCACTAAGTTTCTTGGCCAGGGATGCATGAAAAACACTCATGTGCCTGCCTGGTGCTTGTATTGCCCACAAGGAGTGCTGAAATGTGGCACCTCTTCATGGGGCTGCAAGCCTGCAGCCCTTCCAAGCACAGGCTGTTTTGCACAAGCAAGAATCCCTGGAGAAATGGAGCCAAGGGAAGAGCAGAGCTCACTCCCACTGCAAATTTGTGATGGGTGAGAGAGTTGGGGCATGATTGGTGCTTTGGAAATGCAAGGGAGGAGAAATGTTGCTGGTAGTGCTAAGACGGGAAGGAAAATGTCTGGCCAAGTCACCATCTGTCACTAAAAGGGAAGTACTGTTTTTTAATAGTCCTCACGTGCCTGTAAGACAGCTGCCAAGAAGAATTTAAAATTTTTTTGTGCACCCACCTGAAACCATCTGAGAATGTTGGTGTGATGAAATGACTGATTATGTCATTAAGGTACAAAGGAACTTTTAATTTTAATTAATGAGAGAAACTATGGTAAACAATCGTTAGCACATACTTGGTGATTAAACAGTTTGCAGAGCTGTTGCAATGAGTGCAAAAAGCTGCCAAGCTATGTCTGTTCAGTTAAAGAATCATAACATTTTGATACCAGCTTAGTGTGATGAGAGAGACCCTGCCACGTGTCCAAACATGGATCTGATGGATCAGCAGGCAGAACAAGACTAGAGACAAATCCCCTTACTGTGAGTATCCCTTGTCTAGAGGGCTTTGAGGCAAAAAAGTCTGTCAGGAGTAAGGATTTCAGAGTACATGGAATTTATAAGCTGAATCTGATGTTTTGAGTCATACTTGAAAACAAACCAGTAGCCAGTGCATTTTAAAACCATGCTTTTCTCTTTGCAAAGGGCCCCACAAGGGAGATGGATGCTGAACTAGCACATTCTTGAACAATTCACTCTGGCTGTACTAATTGCATTGACATCCTGTGCTGTATCTAGCAGTAATCCAGACTGGAAGTAACAACTTCCTATATAATTGGCACTGAGTGCCACATCAAAATAAAATAAATATTTTAGCCAATGTAGATGGAATATTTTTTTTTTTTTTGGCATTTCAAGTCTTCCTTAGCTTTTCTTTTTATTTTGAAATACAACCATTGATGGCCTGATGTGAGGTTTATGTCTCATCCCAAACATTTTGCTATGGGCTACTGTTACATAGCAGGGCACTTTAGTGTGAGCTTTTCAGTACAAAGCAAGTGCTGTTTACAGCACTGGAGTGCTGTGATTCTGCTCACACCCTCGGGTTCAGGTGGCCCAAAGTTCACTGTAGTGCTCAAGGCACCTGACCAAACACACACCATGTATGTCTCCCTCCTCTACAGCCCTTTGCCAGCCATGTTTCAGGCAGCTGCTGTAGAAATAAAGGAGGAAGATACAAAAGTGCATTATGCTTGTCCACCCATGCCTGGTGCTTTGAATTCCCTAAAGGCTGTTCTGTGTGACTTGACCTAGACATTGACCATTCCTGGCTGGCCTTTTTATTACTCAGCTGTGATGTGTGTGCTCTGGCAGCTCCCCACACCACCTTTACTGTTCCCATGTGTCCTTGTATCCTTCCTTGTGTTTGCTTAGTGGTGTGTTACAGATGCCCTGTTGAGCTTTGACTGACTGTGTTCTCGCAGCTTTGGAGATGACAGGAAAAGAGTTGTTTGAAAGACGGGAGTGGGAAGAATTTCTCTATCTCTTGCCATTTACTGGAAGATAATCCACTCAGGAGGAGGCAAAGTTTTGTTCTTGAATTTAAAAAAGCTATTCCCTCAGTATTACAAAAAACTTGTCTGATGTGATTTGTACTGCAGGATGTATAAGTTAATCATCTGAGCATTTTGCATAAAATTAAATTTTCTTTGTGTTTCTATGAAACTTTTGTGACCTTCTGAGTCTGCTCTTTCTAGAAGCTTTAATTGGACAAATGTTCTCATGGAGGATTTAAGTGGCTCATGCATCAAACTGCTCCAGTTTTATAGGAAATTCAGCCTGAAATTCTTTCAAAAGCCTTGTAGTCAGAAGAGACTTAGGGTAATTGCATTACTTTTAACCACTAGTTACCCACACTTTTTTAATGGAGAAACTGTCTGGCAATGTAAGTCGCTATAGCAGCTGAATTTACAGAGCAAATAGCAATGTACATGTTTTATAGAATGATTGCTAAACTATTCAGGTATTTTAATGGACTTTTCATCTTTCGTTTGTGTCAGCTCTGGATGTGCTATTAACTAACACTGCTATTTTTAAGGAATTGTACGTGGAAATTCCTCTAAGTTGTCTTGCTGTTTATTGAGAGCATTTATGTCAGTATTTAAAACCTTAAAGGTTGCACAGCATCATGCTTTTTATTCACTGTATTCAATAATCTCACTCTAACAGCATGGAGAAATGACCCTTCTAAATCTAGACAGTTCTCCCTTATTTCAAATGGCCTAATTGAACATTAATTCTCTTGCTTCACAAATCCTCTGAGAGATGAAGAGGATACTCAATACTCTGTTAAAAACAATTTCTAGGGCCTACTTACCTAATTCTCTTAGTCATCAGTTTAGCCAAAAGAGAACTGACATTGTAAGATGAAAATACCTCTTGGAATTATGGGGGTTTGTTGACTAATACGGCTTGGTTTTGTTTGTTTGTTTAGAAATTCTTCCTGTATGGATCAGCCTTCTAGTGATGGTGAAACTGGGAGAAGACCACTCTAAACAAACACAGGATGATTCGGGTCCCAGCTGATGCAGAAAATGCTCACAGTAGCAGTGTGGAATCTTGTCCTTCCTTACGGGATGTCCACTCCATCAACCCAACGCAGCTGATGGCAAGGATTGAGTCATATGAAGGCAGGGAGAAGAAAGGCATATCAGATGTCAGAAGGACTTTCTGTTTGTTTGTTACATTTGATCTCTTATTCATAACCTTACTCTGGATAATAGAATTAAATGTGAGTTCTCTTTTCAGTACCTACCTTTAGACAGTATATTAAGGTTTTATTAACTACAGGGACGGTTAATAAGTTGCTCCTTTCTATCCAAAATTATGTTATTTTTATCTATTTAAGTTTAAGCAGCTTATTTAAGCTTCCATGAACACAGTATCTACTCAACTGCATCTACGTTTATGAATTAAGACATGTGTTTATCTTATGTGAAACCTTTAGATGTTCCTGTAGTCTGTAAGCCACGCTGAAAAAAACATTGGAAATCCAGTGTAGTCTTCAGGCATCAAATACAGAAATGTTACTGTATGTCTTTGAATTTAGCAAGAAGTGTGAATTTTAACCAGACTCAGGACTCTGCCTTTTGAGTAACTTTAAGTCAGTGATATTGCACTGAGGTGTTAGTCCCTGAAAATGGCCAAAACTTTTCTGTTGCTGTATTTTCTTTGATGTAAACTTGGTGCATCATACATTATAGATGGCAGGGTGCATTTAAACAACTAAATAAACTCCCACAGTTGTCACCTTTTAACTCCAGCATTTGTAATCTGGAAAATGAGGCTACTCTAAAATTTCAACAAAGCAACAGGATAGCTCGTTTGTTGTTATTTCATAAGTAGCATCCTAGTTCTTGAGCTAGGTATTAAGCTATATACTGGTTTGCATTTAAGAAAGGACACATTAGGGAGCAATCCCTTTTCTAGAAAGAAAGATCTGGAGTAAATATTTTTTATCAGCATTTTACTAGATAAATAACCTTGGTTATTAATTTACATTATGAAGCTTCAGGAGCTGTCTATTCAATAGTTCATTGATACAGTGAAAATACTCATTCTGATGTAATTTGAGAGAGCAGGTTTTGCTTGCCTGAATGATGTAATTTTGGGACTAGACTTTCTGTTTCTCTCTAGGTGGAAAAATGGTTGTAGCATAGTGTTCTGATGCAGTTCTTTTTTTAGGCCAGTTTCTCAACAGCTTGTACAACTAAGAGGAACAGAGTGGGTTTATATGTCTTGTTGAGGTTTCAGAGATATTCATGAGTGCTCTCAGAATATTGAAGATTCTAAATAGAAAATGCTACCAACTCATGATATCATAGTGTTTCATTTTGAATGCTACAGTATCAAGGGATCTCAAGATCACAGCAGTTTTCTTTGTAAAAAGTTGTATTTTCAGGACAACATATTATGAACTGGTGTCCTATACTGCCACATGTCAGCAGGAATAAAAACCAGGTTTTTGTCATTAGAAGTCAATGATATTAGAAGATAAAATTTTATATCTGGGATTTGGCACATGCTTAGGTTTTTTGTTCTGTTTCTCTTTGAATTGCTTTGTTTTCTGAGAAGTCATACAGCATTGTGTTAGGACCCTGTGTTATTGGTGCATAAGTAATTATGCACCAGTTGAATTGCCATGAGACTTCTGTAAACATTGTTTTCACTTTGTTGCAGTTATCCATTTTCCTTAGGTGTAGTGTAGTTTATTGTTAAATGGTTCGGGGAGTAGCTCCATGGCATTTTGAGCAAAAATCAAGGCTTTCATGGTTCTCCGTTTATCCTTATTTTAACATGGTGCTCACACAGCCACATAGTGATGAGCAGCTTGGAGTGGGGGAAGCTGATCTTCCTTATTTATGCTGGAAATAGATAATCACACTTGATGCAGTAGAACAACCAAGGGAAAGATGTATTTTGAAAGTGTTTCGTTAGGTAGACATTGAGGGGAGGGAGAGGAGAAGAAATAGAAGAAATTCAGAGTTGGAGTGACTAGTCTTAGGCAAACACTGTCCAGCAGTGTAGTTGGAAAAGTGTGGAAGTGTGTAGACTGCATTGCTTTGAGATAGTGAGCATATGTTGTTGGCATGCTTTGGTAACTCCTTTCCTTAAAAAGATGACAGTAGTTGAACTCAATGTTAAAGCCTTCTGTTGGTGTTTTACATAACTATTTCATGCAGTGCTTAATTATGGAATTTCAAATTAAAATCAATAGGAAATGGACACTGAAGTTTTTAATTTGCAACTAAGATAGATACTCCTTTCACTCTCTGAGCCAATGCACATTGAATTATTTTCTTACAAGGCCAGTTTGATCAGTTGAATCCTTCCACTTGAAAAAAAACATGGTGGCTAAGGAAGATATTATTCTGAATCTCATCAGGAAATTGAAGAATTAAACTTGAATGTTATTTGTGCGAGATTAATAGTTTCAGCTTCTGCTTTTTTAACTGTGGATCTTTTGGCTCAGCTCTCTTAACAAATCATGTGAGGGCTGATAAGAAGGAAATCTGAAGTATGATTCAATTTTTGTTCTCTTTCCTATTTGCTAACATGTGACTAACTAGGACTGGATTATGGTTGGCTTTTTGATCAACTGTTTTGATCCTCCTTATAAGAGGTAAAATGCTTTGTGAGTTTATGTAACAGACCTTAACATTTAATCATTTATTCCTCCCTCAATAACTGGTTTGCTTTTATTTTGAGACAGCCTGAAACATCTGGTTTGCCTAGGCCAGATGACAATCTTAAATGTTTTCGCTTTGAAAAGTCTATGTAATCTTGAAAAACAAATAAGAGCATCATTCTTGGCAGACAGCTCTTCTGTATGTAGTTTAATGATCTTTTTGTATATCAGCAGGGAATTACTAGTTTTACTCTTCATATTTGACTGTATTTTTACTCTTCATATTTGAGTGGATTTTGTTTTGTGAAGCTGTGTGTATTGTTGTTCCTTTGTAGGTAAAAGGAGGCATTGAGACTACCTTAGAGAAAGAAGTCCTACATTATGACTACTCCTCTTCATATTTTGATATATTTGTAAGTGTTCTTAAAAAAAGAAAAGCAGCAAAAGTATAGTTTTCCAATTCCTCCTTCCACAGATGTTTCCTAGTTTGAGTCTTGTGAAAGGGTTGATCTTTTCTTGATAATTTAAAGCAGAAGGGCCAAGTTTCACCCATCTAGGGGTTACCCAATCCTGCTCTGGCAGCAGGCTCATGGAGCCTGTGGATAGAAATGCTTAGGGCCAGTTGATTTGCATCTTTAGCTTTGGGGTCTATGGAAAAGCAGATGGAAAAGCCAGTCAAGAATGTGATTTTGATGTGACATAAGGTAATTCATTAAGAGGACAAGACCCATAGCCTTCCACTCTAAAATCATATTGCTTAAATCAATGTTTTTGTCCTTCATTGGGCATAAGGTGGCTGCAATAAGGAGAGATTTGTGCCCAGGGTGACCTGCACAGGGCAGTTTTTTCAGAGTTCTGTGTTTTAACTCAAACAGTAAAAAGAGATGACATGATGATGCTCCCTTACTATATATATGTAGCTTAGGCACGTAACAGGAACTCAATTGTATTAGGAAATTCCTTTCTTTAGGCAAAGCTGTAGCTCTGTAGTAGCAATGCATTTTGAACTGCACGGCCCAAGTAAAAGCTTTTTCTTTACAGTTCTTCTAAAGAGAAAGGTTCTTAATTCTACCAGATCTTCTTTGCCTTGCAGAGATGACTTGATTTGGTATCAGTCATTTTATACTGATGACCATATTCAGAATCTCTCTTTGAAAATGGTGTAAAAACCCATCCTTACTTCTGCATTGGATATTTGCTGTGTCAAATTAATTTATGTACTAGATTGAAAAATTTTATAAGCTAGCAAATTATGCTTCTTCTCCCTTTTCCATTGTTTTGCTGGCAGGATCTCCATGATATACCATGCTGCAGAAAGCAAAAAATGTTATCTGTAAACATTGATGTTCTGGAAATTACTTTATCCTGTAGGTGAACCAACTTCTCAAAATAATGCAAAATAATAGACTTTTATTCCCTGGGAAAGGACTTGAACTTTAAATTTTGCAAAGTTTTTTGTGGGTTTTACAGGATTTCCTCTGTTTTTACTACACATTTGTGTAAGATTAAATGGGTTTATCATACCTCTGGCCATGACTCTCTTTGATTTCTCTTCATTTTTAAGCACTTGTTTCACACTTTTTTGATTCTGAGCACATACTTTAAAAAAAGTTGGAGACAATCTACTGTCAAAAAATAAACAGAGAAATTGAAGCTTGGAGTCTCTGATTCAGAGATCTTGTCTGTTTGCTATTGTTATAATTTTCTGGCCTACAAATACCATAACTTACATTTCTCTACTGCCAAATAGAATGACTTGCTATTATGGGCAGCCACATAAAGAATAATTGATTGTTGCAATGTTAATATTTCACAAAATACTAGAAGTATAGTAGCACACTGCTAAGATCAGTGAGATGCACAGTGATGCACGAGGTATTTGCCGGATTAACTGTATCCAGCTGTTAATCTGGATTAATATAACTGTTTAGATTCCAGTCAAGTAAAATGGTTGTGAAGACACTTTGTATAGTTTTCTTCTGTTTCTAACTTATTAGTGGAATGGCACATGCTTGCATATTTGAGCCTGTCTAGGCAGGTGGATGTTGCCATTTGCTTTACAAATGGGATATTACTTTCTATTTTTGTTTTATAAGGACACATCCAAATTTGTTTCTTGGTAACAGACTGTCCTAAGTTTCTTTGTAAGTAGTTAGTATTTTTTTGGTGAGTTGAGACTATTGTTGTTCTTCTGTGTTCTGAATTAACCAACCAATATTTTTTCCTCTCTCTATAGCTACTGGCAGTCTTTCGGTTTAAGGTGTTAATACTTGCATATGCAATGTGCAGACTGCGCCATTGGTGGGCAATAGCTGTGAGTAGTAGCCAAGCATAATGGAGTTTTTCCTAGAATGGATCAAGCAGACAAAATTTTAGATGCCTCTTAACGCTTGTGTGTTAAGAATCATCTTGATGGTGTATATATAAAAATTTGTTGTAAAGTAACAAATTAAAAACTTGTTTTCTAGAAGATTTTCAGCCTAAAGGCAAGAATTTAATAGCACAGTGGATGTGGTTCTTATTAGGTATCACGTTAATACAAATTGAAGGTTTATTTTTCACCCAATATGGATGGCTAGTCATCCATAACTGCTTGTTACGTCTGAGACTTGTTAATCAATTCTGGAAATATATTTCCATTTGTAATAGTGAACATTCTTCAAAAACAAGACTTGGCATTATTGTGCCAGAGATCCAAGTGCCTATTAAGTCCCACATTCTTACATTAAAAAGTTTTAGGTACCACCCATTGAACACTAGCACCTGTATTGCTTCATGCTCCTCAACAACCTCAACAAAAGGTTGAATATGAATCCTTTTTTTAAAAAGGAAGTTGTCAAGAACTGTAGGCAACCACTGTCTTTAATGCAGCTCTATAGTGTGGATGACAAAAAATGCAAAATTTGGTGAAAAATTCATGCTTCTACTAGTCAATACTATAGGTTGTAATACTATAGGTGTATTGCTGGCTTAGTGCTTTCTAAATCAGACTTTTTTTTTTTTCCTTACACTGTGGAAAGTGCATGTAGAACATGTTCATGTCTAACTTTCTTCAAGCAAGTAGCATGTGGTTTGCTTAGTGCTCTGAGACAACACGCAGAGATTTTTATAGATTGTGTTACTAGCATGGCACAAACATACAAAGTGGCAGGCGCTGCTCTGATAGTGCTTATATTTAAATGCATGCTTCTTAAAAGTCCTTGCCCTTGGTTGTGTAGCTGTAGAATATTTCTTAATCCTCCAACTTGATGCCTTTGCTTGTGAGGGGGTGAGAGTGAAGCCATCATGGTAGCAAGTAATTAGATATGTCACTGAAGGTTTTGCCAAAGCCTTGAATCTTAACATCCTACCTGTGATTGACAGAAGTTGATTCTGCTGTTTTTTAAAGAATTGCTGGACCCAAATAACACTAGAAGATATAGAGGCCTTGCTTATGTGAACAGTACTTGTTCACTACTTTTTCAGATTTTGGGGGTTTTTTAGATACTTTATTCAGCATGCTGATTTTTAAAAATATATCAGATATTATCAAGTCTTCAATAAAAAAAATTTTTCAAAATACCACTTCATGAATTAAAATATTTATTTCAATTTACTCCCACAAAGATGTTTTGTTTTTTGAAATGGATATTTTGATTTGGATGGTAGTGAAAAACATTTGGAATAACTGTTGTTAGCTTTTATCCCAAGTGGTGGGATAAAAATAGTTGGGTTTTTTTAAAAGGACTTGAAGAATAAAGTACACTATCTTTATTATACAGTAAGATCACAATTTGCATAACTCAGGTAATTTAGATTCTACACAAATGCTATGTGGAAATCAAATGTTTGGAGGTGTTTGTATTAAAAGTTACCTTTAATAATGTTATTTTAATAACACTTCAAGTTAATTGTATCATGCTTGTTACATTATTAGTTTATGTGATCTTGCTGTAGTCAGTAAATATTTGAAGTTGCAACTAATAGATAATGGAAGAAATAAGAAACTAAATTCATTCATTAGTTTATCTGTTCTGTCTCTTTCAGTTTACAACAGCAGTGACCAGTGCCTTTTTATTAGCAAAAGTAATTATTTCACAGGTATATATTCTAATCAAATGTTTGTTTTACTTTGTTTTCTTAAAAGCAAGATTCTTTAGGGTCATTTTTGTAATGTTTTCTTTCTTTCTAGCTGTTCTCACAGGGTGCTTTTGGCTATGTGCTGCCCATCATATCCTTCATACTTGCCTGGATTGAAACTTGGTTCCTGGACTTTAAAGTGTTACCACAAGAAGCTGAAGAAGAAAATAGTAAGCTTGTGTTATTTCCCTTCGGTCACTGCAGTTGGCAACACTTGGTCCCATATTAACCGGCAGAAGAATGCTTCTTTCAACTTCTCACAATTTGAAGAGCTGTGGAAAAAAATAAATCAAATGGCATGATTTTTTTCCTCTTTGGGAAAGGGAAACATATGCCTTCAAAGAAGTGAGGTGCTAATTTAGGGAAGCAAAGTTAAAAGTCAGAAGGGCCAGATCAGCAGTTTGTCAAGCAGTTGGAAATGTGTTTAATTTTGTATGTTTGATGTATAAAAATTTAACTGCTTGGGCTTGTAAAACTTTATTTTTTGGATAATGCATAAAGTGTCTGGCTCCTGTTTTAGGAAGAGTAGATACAATAACTAATTTGATGTCACTAACTCTTCTTTTGAGGTGGAAAGGGGAAAGCAAAGAAGTGTTGTGGAGAGTCTGTTTCATGCACAGGCAGAATGAGACCAGAACAAGTATGAATTTCAGCCTTTGAGATGAGGCACCAGCTCATCTGATACTCAATATATTCAACTAAATAGAGGAAATCCACTGTTTCAGTTGAAAGAGAATACTGCTTGAGTGGTGAGGAAAGGAGAGCTTACAGATGCTTGTGGGTTTCAACAACAGGAGAGTAATGATACAGCCAACCTGTTCTTTATGCATCCCTACCTGAAAAACAGTCTGAAATTCTGTTGGAAAGGCATATTTATCTGTTAGGTAAATCAAAAAACTGTATGTAGTCATGGATACCTCAATTTTTATGTGCTCTGAATGCAGTCTTCCTACTTTGATCCTTTCCCTCTTCTTTTTCACTTGTCTGAGAAAAAAGTTGATTAAATGAGAACAGTAGGGTTTACCTGGAGAAAAAGAAACTTAGAGTAATTTTTTTTTATCTTATAAAGGGGATGAGGAAATACAGCTGCATCACTTTGTTATCTAAATAGATAAGAAATCTAACCAGTTTGGAGACTTTTGCATTTTTTGATATTGAATATTCACAGACAAAATATTCAATGCATACACATGCAAATAGTTCATGAAGGTTGCAGAAACTGAGTATGTTGAGACACATAGGTGAAAGCAAGCCATTAGTGAAGGGCCATGGTGGCAGAGAGAGAGAATAATTTATTTGGTTTTGCATGGCACCTCACTGATCATTAAAAATGTGTTTCATAAGTTTTAGTTAGCCAGTGAATATTGATGAATTTACATACGGCAACCTAATAATGTAATCACACATAGTAGAAGGAAAAAATCCTTAATTCATGCATGCAATATCTCTGTTTTGCTAGTGTGTGTCACCTTAGCTTCCAGCATTTAAATAGAAAACATAAGTGTTAAATTAATTGTTGATGCTTTTAAAAAAGATACTTATTTAAAGAAGTAACTAGTTAGGAGTGCTAATATAATACATCAGTCTTCAGGATTCTTCATCAGTATTTGATCTTTAAGACTTTATGTGTTAGCACTGAGGAATTATTTTTTGGTATTTTTTTTCTTTCAGGATTTTTGATAGCACAGGATGCTTCAGAACGAGCAGCTCTTCTTCACCCAGGAGTCCTCTCTGATGGGCAGTTCTATTCTCCTCCTGAGTCTGTAGCAGGTAGTTACATTTACTTAGTGAAAGATTTTTTATATTCACTTTACACTGCTGTATATTTCATGCTCTTCAAGAGGGAAAGGGGAAAAATAGATTTTTGTTTTTAAATGAAAACTGTATTAGTCATCCTAAAATGCAAGATTCTTTTTTGTTCAGTAATTCAGTTTAGTTGCTACTTACCAGTTGAGTTACAAGACGTGATTAATGTATTTTAAGTCATGTTCTGACTAAAAGCAAGGTAAATCTGAAATAAAATGGCACCACAACTGAAAGGAGGCAGTTATGGTTTGCTTCTGCCACCAGTGATCCAGCCTGAGCTGTTCTGTGATTCTGTGGTCTCTTACCTGCCAGCAATAACATTTATGCAGCAATGCACAATTTAATCCAGTCTAAATTTGGAGCTTTATACTGTTTTAGGATAGACAATGAACCTAAAACTGCTATAAGGTAAACTGAAATTTGAATCAGAGCTTCTTTTCTTTTTTCATAACAAAAAGAAAAAAGCCTTCTCTCTATGAAAAGGTTCACCTGTCTGGGTAATGTTAAGTACATTGTAACTCTGCATATCATTTGGTTTGTCTAGTTGAGATATGAGTTGATTAAATAAAAAATAAATATAAATACTGCAAGATTCAAGAATGTGTCTCAAGCATTTCAAGGAAAAAAACTAATTTCTTAATGGATCAAATAAATTTGAATTACCTGAGAATGCAGTGGGGACGCCCAACTCCTGTATCAGTCTTTTTTCCCTAGAATGTAAACCTCTTTGCAAAGCTGTGCTGTATAATGCAATATAATTAAAATAACATCTGCTAGTTGCTACTGCAAGTCTGCCTTTCTTGCATTATAAAATTATAGATGTTGGTTATTTTTTTTCATTTTAATGTCTGTCTCTGGTTTCTCTCTGCTGAGCATCTTGGCTTAGTGAATGACTTCGAGCTCCATCTAGGGGTCACTGAGCATTAGCGTTGAGTATAACCAGTGATTCAAAGTGAAAATGGATTTTAGCTAAAACTATGGGTCTGCTTTGAGGAATAATGGAAGTATTGTACTGGACTCAGCTGTTCAGCCTGGGTTTTGTGGGGTTTTTTTGTAGCAACAGAATACATAGTGTGAGAGGAAGTGTAATTGAAGCTAACATGTTTTTCTAGACATTGTGGCTGGGTCAGTGTTGCTTGTGCAGTGAGATGTTGTGTTTCAGCATGCATGTATTGACTGTAAGTGTGCCATTACTTTCAGCTAGTCCTGTGGGATTAAGTAACAGCTCAGGTGCTTTTTTCAGGTCTGCCCTTTATGGGTATGAGACACAGAAGAGACAGACAGATTAATATATTTGAACTAACACACACTGGTAGTCACAGAGTGAAACTGCTGGATAATGTAGAGTAAAAATAGCTCATTATTAATTTTTTTTTCAAAAATCTGCATTTCTTTCTGAGAAGACAAACTATGGATTGTTCTAAGAGAGCAATTTTTGGTCACTTTGCTATACATATTGATTTGACAAATATTTAGAGATAAACTATCTCCTGTGATCATGCAGCAGGGAATAAACCTCTCTGCTGATATGGCAACATTTTTTAAAACAAATCTTTGCTTTTAGGAGGTGACATATAAAATGAATTTTCAGCATATTTGTCTCTTTTTGTTTTTCTTGAAGCTACACGTGTCCAGGGACATGCCCTGTAGCCACTTCTTTATATGTGCTGACCCTTCATCTTTGACATCGGTTACTTGGTAACCAAGTCTATTCTGGAGGTAGTAAGTGGAAAATCAGCCTGAAAAGAATAAATTTATTCTGTTTCTGTACAATTTGAGCTTCAATACGCAGCTAATGTGCCATTCCAAAAATGAAAGACATTCAGACTAATTTGTCCAAAAAAAGAAAAAGCTTAACACTTTTATGTCTTTTAACTTCTCTCAACTGATCTACAGCATTCTTGTCTTCATTCTCAGGTTCTGATGAAGACTCTGAAGAAAAACAAGACAGTGAAAAACCAATTGTATAGCGAATAAGAAAAAGCAGGTAAGTTCCTTTGCGTAGAACCTGAATATTCCTAAAGATATGCTTTTTCTTCCTAGTTCCTTTCCAAACAAATTAAATGGTATGTTAACTCTGAAGAATTAATAATTGTTGAACTCAGTCTGTCTCTCATAGCAGCCTTCAAGAAGGAAATCCTGCCAAGTCTTGAGAGCCTAGAGTTGGGTTCCTTTGCATTTATTTTTTGGCCCTCCTGGAAAGGACAGTGGTGGACCAGATGTGTAAAAGCTCCTTTTTTTGGCAGCAAAGAGATACATTTCTTTGGAGACGAAAGCACAAAAATGCTAGGAAAATACTTTATTTGGTTTAAATCTAGGACAGGTATGCCTGAAGATTTCACGGGCAAACCTGCTTTGCTGTTTCCCCTCCTGTTTAAAACTACAAGTGGGTTACACTGGAGCAGCCTCATCTTAACATTCTTGTAGTGTACTTTGTTGAAATATGAGATTACTTCCTTATTTTGGAAATGACTTAATTTACTTCTGGAATTATCATGCCCCATGCTTTCACTTTACCACTTATAGCAAAGCTCAAGCTGGGGGAGGTATTAAATGTTCTTGAGAATCAGAAACTTCTGATTTGAAGCCTTCTAGTGCTCACCTGGAAGAGTGGATGACCTTTTCTTTTCAGCCTACCTGTTTACAGTATGTTTTCTTTACTCCCATCTTCATTCATCCTGACTTGTGTGATCTGTTGCAGAAAGATAATCTGCAGGAAGTTGTTGCGGTTTGGAAACTGGCAACAGAGTCTGTGGCTGACTTGCTGGCAGAGCTGCTGACAGGAGAGTTTACTCAGAAAGTAAAGGGAATGGTTCCCATGTACTGTAATACCTCATGAAGATGTACCTTGTTGACATATGTATATTAGGTTGCCTCCCAGGTGGTATAAAAGTATTTGTCCACAATGTATTTTATTATTCAGTGATTCCTGAAGTTGATCTTCTAATGACTAGGTAATTACTGGAAAGTGTTGTCTTGTGTACCTAATCAAGAGACTGGTAATATAATGAAGTAAAACTTCTCTGTGGTGGAAGTATATTTAATAATTGTTGGGTCTCACTAGATAAAATTATTTTATGTTATTGCAGTTTGTCATTAGTTTATGTTTACTTTTTTTTAACTCCATGCATTTTCTTTTTTTTTTTTAATGGATATGTTCACTTTCTAAAATAAAAATGTTAAAACATGAGTAATTCATTATGATATTTCATTGCTTTGTCATTGGAAAAATCTTCATTTACCACTTCTATATATGTGGAGCAATAAGGACTCCAGTTTGCCTAATTTTGTGCAAAATGTATTACAGTACTGTTTGGTGCTCCCTACATGGCCTGTAGGGAGGCCATGTTAGTAGTAGTGGCACATCACTTCTTTGTGGCATTGGCTTCAGTATGCTCTTCCTAAAGTTCTCTTCTGTAATTGCTGGTTTATCCATTACATTGCTTCAGAATAGCCAAGATCTGTTTCAGAGGATGCAGCTAAGAATAAACTATTAGAAGACAGAGAAATTCAAACCCTGTCATTTAACAATGTTGGAATGTTCCTAACCAAGGATCTGGAGTATCTGAGGAGAGACTGAAGAAACTGGACATGTTTAGTTTAGGGAAGACTGAGAGAGAATCTCATTAATGCAGATAAATATCTCTCAAGAAGGTGCCAAGAGGATGGTGCCAGACTCTTTGGTGATGCCCTGTGACAGGACAAGGAGCAATGACTTTAACCTAAAACACCAGATTTGTCACCTCAACAGGAGGGAGAACTTCTTTACACTGAGAGTTTAAAGAAGAAGAGCACTGAACAGCTGCCCAGGGAGTTCATGGAGTCTCCCTCTCTGGAGACATTCTAACCCCACCGGGATGCATTCCTGTGTCACTTGTTTTAGGTGACCCTGCCTTGGCAGGTTGGACCAGATTATGTCCAAATGTCCAATCCAACCCTAACGATTCTGTGATTAAATTCAGTGAGAAAAACACCTCTGGAATAGGAGATCAAAGGTTCCATTAATCCTATGAACTTCATAGTGAGTTGCACAACTCATGACTTTACTTGAACATCCTCTTCAATCTGCAATATGAAATTCCTCTGCATATCTAAGAAATTCAGCCTATTCTCAGTGCCTTTGTCCTCTTGCAGTTCAGTACTTGGAAAAAAAGGGAATTGATACAAAAACTACAAAGCGGAACAAGCCATATGCACTGGTGACAGAAAATCCTTGGGATGGGGGGGTATTTTGTTACACCAGACATGAATAGTTATATTTGGGAAATGTCAGGTAACGATTTTGCAAGCCTCTCCTAAATAAGCATCTTGTGATTTTGGAGGTTGTTAGTTTTGTGAGGGTTCAGGTACCCACACAGCAACAGCAGTGTGATGAGGAGCTGGCATTTGTTATATGGCATTAGAGTGCAGACCAGACTGGTGCCACACTTAACATAGCCTGTAGTGATCTAAAGACATTTCTCACTTGTACATGTCAGAGTCCAGGTTCTTCTGGATGTTCCACAGAGGGAGCTTTTCATATTCAATATCAAACTTACTTACTTGATCTATTGGGCATTACATGTGAAGAGTGACACAGCAGTATGCTGAAATCACGACACAAGCACATTAGCAAGGGCAAGATACAATGAAATTACAATACAAATACAATTTTCATTACTAGTCCCTGTATTTTCCACAATTTCCATGCCCCCTCATTGCCAGAAGTAATATGTGGGCTGAGGCCAGCTGAAGCCAGTTACTCACTTGAGATTTCATTTGCTGGGCTGGCTAAGGAAGACAGGATTCTCCAGGAGTTAACCCATTGCCAGGACTGTCATCAAAGAGAGGGAGCAGAAGGAAGATGCTTTCTGGAACTATGTGGTTTTCTACTATTGAGAGCTCCCACTCTTTTGAAGGTGGCACATCACAGGTGAGAAATTCAGCATCTGTACTTGGCACCCCTGAAATAAATGAAGTTACATAGCCTCTGTATACTTCCCTTGAGGCCAGCAGATGCCCATGAGAGGACTTGTCTTTTTGGACTCGTATCAAACTGCTGCCCTTGGTGAGTATTTCTCAGTGTAAGGCAGGGTTTGGGACCTCAGCAAACCAAGAGGATTAATGCTCCTGCTTGTACCAGCTGCTTTCAAATGGAACGGAAATCTTTACAGTGCAATAATGAAGCTTGTTTTCCTTTCTAGTTTGGATACTAGGCCTTCTGGACTTAGAAAAATGTTTTCCCTGTTGGGACACAGCCTTGAAAGTAGCAGATCTCCCAAAACCTACTCATTAAACTAGAGACAATGAATATTATGTGTGCATGCTTATTTACTATCTGCCAGAACATTACCATTTCTATTCTGACTCCTTGATTAAAAGGGAAGGGATTTGCCTTATTTCTGCAAGGACCTTGAAATATTACAAGACTAACTCCTGCAGTAACAGACGATTTTAAGTGCTTTGCATGTACACTCATATTGCAGGTACTGTCAGACAACCTTTATGCTTAGAACAAAGGAATGCAAGTAACCTAGTTTGATTTCCAGAGGCAAATGAAGTTAGAGCTTAATTTAGTTGAAATGTGAATGCTTTATCTTCTTCCACAATCACTTAACCCAGTACATTTTCTTCAGTAGAAATGTATTCTGTTAGCAGATTGTTTAATAGGGAAACTCAGAGTGTAAGTGGAGACTTTATTTTAGGGATTTTCATTGGGTTTAGACACAGCAAAAATTATTTTTTTTACACTTTGATCAACAGAAGGAAAATAGATTATTTACTGTAATGTTTGCAGTTTAGTAGGGCACTAAATCCCTTTTTTCTTTCCTCCATCAAGATTCCAGCTTTATCTTCTACTAAGTGAAACTGAAGGTAACATGAAGTGTCTATCTAAAAAAACAGTCTTTGATTACTACTTGCTCAACATCTTTCAAAAACTTTATACAAGTCAGGCAAGTTAGCAAGCTGCAAAATGTTGCCGTCTTCTGCAAAGTGTTTAGGAGGTAAAAGATGAGTCCTAAAAGCTTTGTAAAGCACATGTTCCACAGTCCATTTCCATGTTGTTGAACCAGACTCAGATTCTTCATTCTGAAATACAGGAAAACAAGGACAAACAGAGGTTCTGTTTAACTAGAGGAGAGCATGCCTTAAAAACTTTACTATGTAAGACTACAGCAATTGTAAAATTCTGCTGGTATTAGAAAAGTTCATTCTATACAGTCAGTACTAAGCTCTGTAAAGTCACTTGCAGAATGGGTGAGCTTAACTGATTGATTAGGCAGATATTTAGACAAAATCAGGTTGTACTTGTAATTTATTTGCATCCTTATTCTTCTATAGAAATACAGCATCCCAACGCAGAGGCCAAGGAGGCTTGTAATAATACTGAGTACACTGCAACGCCCTATGTTAAAAGGTTCCCTCAATACCTATAATACTTCAGAAAATTTAAGCCACATTCTTTCAGAATCTTGCCACACTGCTACTTGATTCAGTTCCCTGAAAGAACTGGGATTAGAAGTCTACATCTGAAAGAGCAGAAGTTTTCTGTATGTTGTTAGTTCTCTGCTCACAGAACTAGTTAGTTTTCTAATACCTGAGAGTTTGTTGGGCTGGATTCCTCTATTATATACTGCTTTCTGATGGAGTAGAACATGGCTAGTTCTTTACTCAGGCTTTCAAAACACTCCTTTTCTTCATCCCAGTTTACCTGTTACAAAAAAAAAAAGTTATTTTAGAGAACCTGGGTAGCAGTCAGAGACATAATATGGAAAATTATATAATACAGAGATTTTTAATATGGAAAATTTATATTAATGCATTGGCCATTTTTGTCCTGGTAAAGTAAAGGTACAGAAAGAAAAAAGGGGGTAGGAATGCAGATTTTTAAATCAAAATAGAGGCTCAGTCAGTAGTAATGAATAGGCAAAGCATAACTAATCAGTAACCACAGAACAGCATCTGCAATATGTAAGAGTACATTTAAGCTGCACCAGAAATTGAAAAGGCAGGTTGGAATTGCCTAAAGTAAAAAAAGTAATTGTGCATTAATAAAATAAAATCATTGAGAGACTATACCTCTGTGGCCAAGCGCAGGATAAACATAGGCAGTCCTTCCAATGGTGGGACATAGTTGTCTATCAGAAGTGGTAACCCACTAAGATTTCCTTCCTGCAAGGAAACATTGCTGCTTCAGTAAAAAAAAAAAAAAAAAAAAAAAAAAAATTTTTTTTTTAAAAAAAAAAAAAAAAAAAAAAAAAAAATTCTTTTTTTGCAGTTAAATGCACCAAAACTCTTATGTATTTTAAGACTGATTCTTACCAAACACGGTAAAAACTTACAAGTTTTAAAAGCCCAATGCCACGTAGATGCTGCATGAAGAGAGTTATTGGTGGTGTTTAATTTCACAAGGCATGAATTAAACCACTCAGCTCAGGGAGTGGCTGAATTCAACCTTCTCCTCTAGCTCCAGGTTACACATATACCACTTCCCAGGCAAATATTCAAATGAAGTGCCTGGACTTGATGAAGATGTTCACTTTTGTATAAAGTAAGGGATGCCTTAAGCCACACAAAAAAAGACACATTGAGAGCACAGTGGTTCTACAGCCCTGTCTAACTTGAGAGCTGGTTAAGATGCACACCTTGTTGGTTAACAGATCTGCATTCTAGTTACAGAAGAAATGACTGAATTATGGACTGCCCACAGAGGCTGTGGAGTCTTCCTCATTGGAAGTATTCAAGAACCATCTGGACACAATCCCATGCCAGGTGCTCCAGGATGACCCTGCCAGAGCAAGGACCCACCATGGTCCATGCCAACCTAGCCCATTCTGTGACTTGGTAACTAATTAAATAGAAATTTTGTGTAGCATTGTCCTTAAAGGCAGCTTAAGTCCTGAGCATTTTAAATGAAAGGGTTATGCCACCTAAAACCTCAGTGGAACTAATTCTTAGTGAAGGTAAACACTGCAAGCAAACTACTGCTGTTATCTGTCACCAAAATGTAGAATTATGGAATCGTTTTGGTTGGAAAAGACCTTTAAGATCCAATCCAACCATAAACCTAACACTGCCAAGTCCACCATTACTATCAGAGGTAATAGCTGCAGTCACCTCATCAATTTCAAGAGAGAAATAATCTTTCAACATTTCAGTCTTCTTTTTCAAAAACTCCACAATGTACTCAGCTAGCTCTTCTTTTGGGCCATCTTCTTCTGTCCAGCCACTTTCAGGGTCCTCTAATGCAAGCATTGAAAGCTCATATAAAGGAGCTGGCTCCTAAAAATTAAGAAGGCAAAACTTTGGTTAATAATCAGCAAACTCTATTGGAAAGCTGTAACTTCTTCCTTCACATACTAATTAATTGTAATACACTATTTCTGGCCTGAAGAACTAACAGTTCTGTTTATCATAACTGACTAAAAAGGTATGAATTTCTTTCTTCTTTGCAGTCCACAATCCCACCAAGCACTGATATTTTACACGCAATCAACACTGTATTTCTGCAGACTATATTCAA